GTACGCCGGTGTCATCCAACAGTACCTGACGAAGGGGTAAATCCGCGAGGTGCCCGAGACGGAAGTGCACAACGATGCGGATGACCAGTGGTTCCTGCCCCACTTTCCCGTGATCAAGGAGGACCGCACCACCACCAAGGTGCGGATAGTGTTTGACGCGGCGGCCAAGAAGAACGACGTCTCGATCAACGAGGAGATGCACGCCGGCCCAGCACTACAGAACAACATCGTGAGTTGCCTACTCAAGTTCTGTAAGGAACCTGTGGCTCTGATGGCAGACATCAGCGAGATGTTCCTGCAAGTGGAGCTGGCTGAGAGAGACCGCAGGTATCACCGATTCCTGTGGGAGGTCGACGGAAGAGCCAAGGTGTTCGAATTCCAGCGAGTGTGCTTCGGGTGTAAGGCGTCGCCATACCTCGCCGGAAAGGTCGTCCAGGCTGTCGCGGCCACCTATGCCGCCGAAGGGTCACCCACACACACCATCATCAAGGACAACCTCTATGTGGACGACCTACTCGCGTCTGCGCCAACGCCAGAGGTGGGCCTACGTACTGACGTCCAGGAGACACTGGCCAAGGGAGGCTTCCATCTACGGAAGTGGATGTCGAACAGTGCAGAGGTCATGAAGTCTGTGCCAGAAGCCGACCGGGCGCCGAACACGCTGATCTCGGTAGCTGACCACCAACACCCCACGCTACCCTGCGTGAAGACGCTAGGAGTCGCCTGGGATGCTGAGAGCGACCATTTCACGTTCAAGTACCAGGTGCCCGTCATCACGCAGTACACCAAGCGCACTGTCCTGAGCAAGATGGCCTCTCTGTTTGACCCACGAGGGCAAGTGTCACCCTACACCATCCGAGCAAAGGTCATGTTCCAGGACGCCTGCCTCCGCGGGCTGGAATGGGATGAGGAGTTCGCAGAGCCTGAGGCTAAGGGTTGGAGGAAGTTCTTCGAGGAACTGCCCAAGCTAGAAGCCGTGAGAGCCACCAGGTCATTCAAGGACCCAGACCGGGATCCGGCCGATGCAGAGCTCAGCCTCCATGTGTTCGTTGACGCATCCGACGCAGCAGTCGCAACAGCAGTCTACGTACGGGCGAGTTATCCAGACGGCATGGCTCGGTCCACGCTGGCCATGGCCAAGGCTAAACCAGCCCCGCTACACCGACAGTCGATCCCCATGCTTGAGCTACGAGCAGCTGTACTCGGCGCCGAGGTAGCCGAACAAGTCGCCCAAGCCCTCGGCATCAGCTCGTCCGACATCACGTACTGGAGTGATAGCCTCAATGTCCTGTACTGGCTTCGCTCACACAGCCGCCGTTTCAAAGTCGAGGTGGGCAACAGGGTCAGCAAGATCCAAGCACTGTCGGACCCCCGTCAGTGGAGGCACGTTCCGACATCAATCAACCCTGCGGACAAGGGCACCCGGGGCCTATCTGCAGCCCAGCTCGCATCCGATGACGACTGGTGGCATGGCCCGAAGTTCCTACGCGGACCCGAGAGTGCATTCCCGGCACGGCCGATCGAGGTTCCCAGTAGTCTGCCGGCAGAGCTGAAGAAGCGATCCGCTATGTCGTTCAGCGCGGTTCCAGGGAAGTACCAGCTTGACCCCTCCAACTTCTCGTCTTGGACGCGGCTCATCCGTGTCACCGCTTGGTGTCAGCGCTTTGTACGTAACGTCCGTATACCGAGGGAGGCTGGCGCCAACAGACCAACACCCGCTCCACGACGCAAGTTTGGATCTGCCAAGTCAGTGAACGGTATGACAGTACCCGCTCTCTCCCCTGCAGAGGTCCAGGCGGCCGACGTGTTCTGGGTACGGAAGGCCCAGGAGGAGGTGTATGGCAAGGTCATCAAGCGACTGGAGTCCGGCAAGGAACCCGATCCCAACGAGCCATTGCTGAAGCTGCGACCCCAGCTGGAGGAGGTACATGGCACAACCGTACTGACGGTCGGTGGGAGACTCACCACTGCACACCATCTGCCGCTGACGACAAGACACCCCATCATCCTGCCACCGAAACATCGGGTCACAGCCCTGATCGTGGATGACGAAGACGAGAGATGTCAGCACTCCATGGGTCCCAACCACCTGCTGGCCAACCTCAGCAACCGGTACTGGCTGATAAACGGGAAGTCCGTGGTGCGACAGCATCGCCACAGGTGCGTCAAGTGCCGACGAGGCTACGCGAAGGCTTTGACTCCAATCATGGGAGGGTTGCCGGATTACCGGACCTCGTCACCACTTATCGCCTTCAGCAAGGTGACCATCGACTTTGCCGGTCCATTTCTGACGCGCCAGGGACGAGGCAAGGTGCAGCAGAAGCGGTATATCTGCGTATTCTCGTGCCTGCTGACCAGAGCGGTACATCTGGAGCCCGTCAACTCGCTCGACACAGATGGGTTCTTGATGGCGATGACCCGATTCTGCAAGAGGCCCGGAGTTCATAGTGACAGACAACGGGTCGAACTTCACCGCCGCAGAGCGACAGCTGCGCGAAGCCACCTGCACGATAGATCAAGACCGCCTAACCACCCACTCCGAGTTGCGAGATGTACAGTGGCATTTCAACCCACCGAGAACGCCCCACTTCGGTGGTGTAGTAGAAACGATGGTCAAGGCAGTCAAACGCGCACTCTGGCATGTGCTGCACCAGGCTGGCCTCACGGATGAGGAGTTCTCAACAGCGCTGGTACATGCCGAGGCAATGCTGAATTCCCGTCCCCTTACCACCGTATCATCTGACAGCGACGATCCAGAAGCGTTGACGCCAAACCACTTCCTGATGGGACGCGCGGCTGCAGTCACACACCTCGAGGCGGAGACAGAGGATCTGGAGAAGGTCCACCCCAGACGGCGCTGGCTGTTTCTACAAGTGCTGACAAGGCAAGTTTGGAAGAGGTGGCTGCGCGAGATGGTCCCGGCGCTAAACGTCCGGTCCAAGTGGTACAGGAAGGCAAAAGACGTCGAGGAGGGTGAGGTCTTCCTTGTCATGCATGAGAGTACTCCGCGCGCGACATGGCCTCTGGGACGCGTCACAGCCACATACCCAGGGCAAGATGGTGTCGTCCGTGCAGTCAACGTGAAGATCAAAGGCAAGGAGTATCGACGATCAGTTCATCGCCTCATCCCACTGGAGGTAACAGAGGGTGAGGTGGAGCTCGACTCCGAGAACTGCCCAGCCACAGCCAACGTCAATGTGGACAATGTCACCAGCTGAGCGAATAGTGGATGGTGGTACGGCAGTGGCGATGAGGTAGTAAGGCTGTGACTGTAGTGTTAGCAAGCAATCCACAATCAGAGTGAACAATACATCCAACCGGCTAGATAAGACGTATCCTCGTTCCCGGATATGTCTAGTGACATTACGGCATGCATTTGACACAATGATGTTAGGTGTGACATCCAATAGCAGTTCCCCAGGAGTTAGAACATCACTCGGAATATTAGTTTGTCTCACTCGCATACATTGATTAGGCTATGATTCGTTCGCGAGGGAGGTATGTCGGAGTCGTGGTGACGCCTGGTACCGTTCAGGTTTCAACAGGTCACATTACAGGACTGCACTTTGCGTGCATTCATCGAGCACTACACCTGTAGCCATGCATGACTGCCTCAAGCTCCATACATGTGCATGACTCATACCATAATACGATAAGGTCAAGTGTCTGACCGCCAACACGTACTCATTAGACTACGTCACGCATTCACCATTGACAGTGTTGCTTGTACTCCCTATACACATCGACGCTTGCTTATACATGTAGCTGTGTATTCTTTGTTCTACAGTCAGTTCTAGCTAGGTTCTTGATAGGTTTTGCTAGGGCATTGTTAGAGTGCATCCAAGATAATCCAAGATGGAGTTGGTGTTTTGAGAGTGAGAACTCGAACCAGTAAAGTTTGTCTCCATTGTTGAACGTGGGTTCGGAAAGTATCCGCAGTCGGTATTACAGTTACGGTACTGATGCAACCTGGTTCCGGGGAATACGGAACACACGACCACCCGACACCTAGCTCCAAGACATCTACATGTACGTCCTCGCTCGGCTTGCCCTCTTCATGTATTCGTATAATTATACCTTTGAGCCTTCCAAGCTGGGTTGTCTGTGGCCTTGCGTGTTCGGGTTATAGTTGGACCGGTTTGTCCAATCGTCTTACTAGTGTCATCATCATCCCGTAAAGTTCGACATTCTTTGTTGCCGAGGGATGTAGCTCGTGCACATCTTCGTGGCGCATCCCGTCCCCGGTTTGGACTTTTCTGCAATTGAGCATTCCAGGTTGGAAGGTTTTTGGTTTGCCCTTCGTAGATGCGTTGAAGCCAGGTGTGAGGTCGTCGAATGTCTCAATATCCTTGTCAGTTTTGTACCCTGTATGTCGCACTATCCGACCATATATTGACCTTTGATAAATACCCACACTCATTAGTGACCACACCATCAACAGTATCAAATTCAAATACATTTGCATGACTCAATAAATACCACTGCACGTTTCCATGCAGCACTGCACTTTTCCCTAAAATGTAGTATTTTATAAACAGTATTTATTGGCCTAGTGGTATTTTATAAACAGTATTTATTGGCTTTGGGGCCAATATATACTTTTTATAAAATACCACTAACGCCAATAAATACTGTTTATAAAATACTCCTTTTTAGGGAAAGTGAAGGTTAACATAATTATGTATAATAAATGTAGTAGCTTCAGGATATATTGCAATTACATACCAGTTATAAAAACCTCGGGGGACCTCGGTTTTTATACAGGTATGTAATTGCAATACATCCTTCGGCTTTACATTTATTATATACATATAATCTTGGTACCTGGAAGGACTGGTAGTCATAACTAGTACTAACGTAACGTATAGGTCCTTTTCTTTTCCATATTACTATTGGCTCAACATCCGATTTTTTTAATTCTAGTATAAAAAATCTTGAGCTACCTGAGGAGTTGCCACATCACTTTTTGGTGTTTTCATTTCTCTACTCTCTTTTCCCAGCTCTACCCAACGGAGGTTGATCAACCCACCAGTAGAGGCCCGTTAAATGTGGTCAGTACACGGTGGCTGCGTCACATGATTGGCAGATTCCGCTAATTGAAATTCAATGTCCTCATGGTGCCTACCTTCGTCCAATTCTCTCCGCCCCCTTATGTCTCTCGCTGAAGTTTCTCACTCTTTCTCTACCGCTTTCTTTCCCTCTCTTTCTTGCTCTGCCTCTGTCTCTATTTCTCTGTCTCTGTCTCTCTCTCTGTCTCTCTCTGTCTCTCTCTCTCTCTCTCTCTCTCTCTCTCTCTCTCTCTCTCTCTCTCTCTCTCTCTCTCTCTCTCTCTCTCTATGTCTCTCTCTCTAGGTCTCTCTGTCTGTCTCTCTCTGTCTGTCTCTCTCTGTCTGTCTCCCTCTCTCTCTCTCTCTCTCTCTCTCTACCTCTCTCAGTCTCTCTCTCTCTCTCTCTCTCTCTCTCTCTCTCTCTCTCTCTCTCTCTCTCTCTCTCTCTCTGTCACTCTGTCTTTCTATCTCTATATCTCTATATCTGTCTCTCTCTTCTCTCTCTCTCTCTCTCTCTCTCTCTCTCTCTCTCTCTCTCTCTCTCTCTCCCTCTCTCTCTCTCTCTCTCTCGCTCTCTCGCTCTCTCTCTCTCTCTCTCTCTCTCTCTCTCTCTCACTCTTACTCGCTCGCTCTCTCTCTTTCTTTCTCTCCATCTCTTTCTCTCTCTATTTCTCTTTTTCTTTCTCTCTCTAATCGAATATCCTCATTCTCGCCTTCTGCCTCTTAACCCCTTGTCGAGATACCTCTTTTTCCCTATCGTTACACTGCACATTTTAAGTATGTCTACCATTATGTTGGTCCTGGTTGAATCCTTTACTTTGTGCTGTTTATGGAACACTGCACTTTCTTGTTTGGCGGGTTTTGAAAAGTTCCTTGATTTGGTATATAGCGCGTTGCCCAACACCCTTTTAACTATTACCCCCCCCCCCCCCTTTCTTCAAATGTACCCGTTTTGCTAGATTCTATGCAGACTTCTTAGCCCTTTAACCGTCAGACCATACATTTGTGGGTCGAATTCGACCCATCATTTGAAATGCTCGCACTGGAATGTTAATTAACCCCTTCCGATTAATCCTTTATAAGTTGTACCCTTTTGTACATGTACATCACACCGGTATTAATTCCCGGAGCCCGCCTTGACTTAGACATTGGTCTTTGGAGAATCACTCATTATATTAATAGTAAACGTATCATAGCTCATTTGTGTGCAGTGTGTTTCTCATGCACCAAGTTGTATATCCTGTTGAAAGACTATACATTCACGGTTTTCCTGCTCATTGACTTGATCAGCTTCCTAATGTTGTCTGTCAGTTTCATGCAAGGATATGCGAACGCACGCCGTGATCATTAGAGAGGTTAAGTTACACGTTTTTGCCTTTTTTCAAAACCCGATGCCAATCTTACGTTACGTGTAAATTTTAGAGGTTAAGGGTGCGTTCTTAAATCCTCTCGGAAAAGTAAAAGTTGGAGACTCTCCGAAAAGTTCGAGAGCTGTTCTTATATCCTCTCCGACTTTTAGGAGGCTCTCCAAAGCTCTCCAAGTTCTCCAAGCTTCAGAGGTGGTTGAAACTTGGAGATCCCCGCGGTTTGGGATCAGCGCATGCGAACTACGACTAAAAGCCACGTGTTCATCATGAGTATACCCATTTTCCTTTTCGCATACGCACACGTGCATTACTACATTCATCACTCAAGATCGCGGCCGCTTTGGCGCTTCATTTTGCTTGACATGTGGAAAATATCTCCGACTTCTTCGAGACCCGTTCTTGAGTAATCCGAGATTCTTCGACTTGTTGTTGTGTTTATTTTAATTCGCAAACCAAACGGGCAAATCTGCCCAATGAAAAGGTGGCGAATGCAGATAGAAAGCAGTAATAAATGAAATTGGGGACTGATGTAATTAGGATAGAGGTGGAGAAAAACTAAGCCACTTCTCTTTGCTTCTTCTTCTAGAAGCTAGAGAATATAAGAACGTACCCTAAGTTACACGTGCGACGTGACGTGACATTTTGTCTGGCAGAATTCGGGTTAAGTTCACGCAAAATATCAAATCTTCCAGCAAACTCGATAAAACTCGATAAAACTACGGAAATTCACACAAATTCGGTCAGGATAACCAGGTGAAACTTCCAAAAACGCACGCCACGAACTTACGTGCGGTGTCGCGAACATGCGAGTGGTATTTATATGACTCGGGATAGATTCTGTTAATCCTTGATCTCATACGTAGTATCGTGTGATTCTGGTATTTTATGTCAACTTTGTTATGTAAACCGCATCCTTTGCGATTTAATCCTTTTTTTTGTCGCAGCTTGCTCTTCTGGAGCATGTGTGGGATTTTTTGGGTTGTGGCCCTTTGGAACGTCTGGTTATTATTTTGTTTTATTATTATTTGTTCTTCTTTTACTAGGGAATTCCCAACAGGCGTCAGCACCTTTTTACAGGGAACCCTAGGTATAATTTGATGGATGAGCGAAATTCAGCTGGTGAATTAGACATGCGGCAAGCCGGTGGAAGTGTATTCCACCTGGCAGCGCCCAAATAAGAAATTGCACTAAAGCCATATCGGGTGTTAGCGGGGGGCAGAACAAGAGCAGCAGAGACTTGGCCACGGGTGGTGGCTGCAGTGCGAGCACCATGGGCGCGCAAGGTAAAGCGGTCTCGCAGAAGAGGACTAGCAAGTCCATTCAGGCAGCGGTAAACAAATACATAGGTTTTGAAGTTGAGGAGTTTCTCAAGGGCGTACAAGTTAGTATGACTGTATAGAAGAGTGGTGGGAGTCATTCTATCCAACGAAAATATTCTCTTTAATGCTACGCGGCTGGCAGTAAGAAGCTTGTCATATAGGGCTTGTGATAAGCAATGAATATATGCAGTGCTGGCAAACTCAAATGTGGACTGAATGATCGATAAATAGAAAAGTCGTTTGCCAAAAATGCTGATATTCTGCTTTGCATGGACAAATGCTCCAACCTTCCTATTGACATTTGCACATACTGCATCCACTTGGGTTGAGAAAGACAGATGTTCGTCAACCAGTATTCCTAAGTACCGAGCGTAAGCAGATGGGACTATGGAAGTGCCCTGGCAGTTGACTGCGGTGCCAGGTGGCAGCTCCGTGCCCGGTCGCCTGAGCAGGACAAACTGAGTCTTGGACGGGTTTAACACCAATCCCTTCTGATCTAGGTAGCGGTCCAGAGCGGCAAGGTCAGCACTCAGCTGGGTTGTGATGATCTGGATGGACTTGTGCCTGATATAGAGTGTGATATCATCGGCATAAAGTTGATTTAATGCATGTTGAAAGCACTGTGGTGCGTCACGGGTGTAAATGCAAAATAGCAATGGGCCGAGCACGGAGCCTTGTGGGACGCCTCTTGTGCAAGGGCGGGCCCCACCTAGCTCTTGTCCTACTCTTACTCGCTGGACGCGTCTGGTCAGGTAGCTTGCAAACCAGGCAAGTGCAGTGTCAGCAATGCCAAGCATCTTCAACTCGTCAATGAGCTCTTGATGCTTAACTCGGTCAAAAGCTTTGCACATATCTGCAAACACTATGCCGCAGTACTCGTTGTTATCAAGGGCTTGGAGCCACTCGTCGACCACTAGCGCTAGGCAGTCCTCACACGAGCTGTTGGTACGGTAGGCAAATTGATTGTCAGGCACGTACATGATGCTGTGTAACTTAAAGAATGCAATCAGCTGCTCCAAGACAACTCGTTCTAATATCTTGCTGCATATGGGCAATAATGAGACTGGTCTGTAATTAGTAGAGCTTTCTGCATCGCCTGATTTGAAAACTGGGCTGACTGTGGCATTCTTGAAAATATCTGGTACGCACCCTGTGCTCAGAGATTTATTGATAATATCAGTGAGAGAAACTGCTATGGAATCACGACCATGCTTCAGTACGGCTGGTAAGACGTTGTCAGAGCCAGGTGACTTACTTGTGTTTGTTGCTTTGAGCAGTGTGGTGATGTGCGCCACAGTTACGGGTCGAAAATGGGACAGTCGAGCCGCCGTAGTTGGCTGTTGGGTGGCTGGGCGTAAACATATGTCAGCAGGCCGGCTTGGATCGTGCACTATGTTAGCAAATGTCTCTGTCAGACTACTGAGAGATGCAGTTGGCTGATTTCTTACTTTCCGCCTGCCAGACAGACTGTTAAGAAGAGCCCACTGACCTCTAGGATTTCGTCGGAGTGCCGAGAACTGGTGCATCAGGAAACGGGATTTCAGTCTCCTACTCAGAAGCGTCCCCTCACGTCTGACAGAACGATACTGTTGCTTAAGAACCATATTCCCAGGCTGCGAAAGGACTCTACGATGCAGAGTAGTTCTGCGCTGCAGCAGTTTCCGTAACTCTGGTGTTGCCCACGGTTGAGGCTTAGGTTTGGGACGGAGGGGTAGTCTAACTTGTTTAGATGGAGCATGCGTATCAGTAACAGCAGCAATAGACGTTAGAAGATGGCAAGTTTGACTGTCCAATGTTGAAAATGAGGATGAGTCCTCGAGCATATTATTCAGGTCAGCATTAAACTGAGAGTAGTTGATAGTAGCTATTCCTGGTTTTCTCACAACCTTAGTTCTCTGGGTTTCTGGTGGTGATCAGTAAGATCTAACATGGGAATGATCGTTGGATTGGGCAATGGAAAGGTAGTGTTCAACAGAGCCAGGTCAAGACACGTGTTTGACGGCGCTCTAGTTGGTGCGTGGACAATGTTCTGCAGCTGGTGCTCTGCACAAAGCTTAAGTAGATGCTGATTATGATGTAGAGTCGGTTGTAAGATGTCCGTGTTCAAGTCTCCCAGAACTAGCAGGTCAGAGCTGTCCACGAAAATGCCATCCAACTGGGCACTGTATTGCTCCCAGAATTCTGTACCAGAGCTCGGTGGGCAGTAGACTGAACTCACGAGGAGCTTACACGCATCTGGCTCCCGTGCAATGCGAACTGACACAAACAACGACTCCAGATGTGTGTTGGATGCGGGCATGATGAGACGAGCGCGGAGACTAGACATGACGTACAAGCACACACCTCCGCCCCTTAGGTTCCTGTCGTTCCGATATATCCGATATCCAGGGATGTTCAGCAGGGAATCTGATACTGAGCTGTCTAGCCAGGTTTCATTAATTGACATGATGTGAATTTTATTGGCATGCAGGATATGATGGATTTCATGAACTTTGTTTCGTAGACTGCAGATGTTTATATGAGCAACTTTGAGGACGGCGCGGTTGTCTGGCTGGGGGTTCCCTGATATGTCCTATTGGGCAGACAGCAGATCCTGGATGGCATTGTCAGAGAGAGGTGTCCCTTTGTCATCCAATATGACGTCATAAGGCAGAGAGCACTTGACCTTTTTGGCTCGAAGTTACTTATACTTCGGTAGTACTGCCTTCCGCTTCGTTTGCTGTTGTCGAGTGAGGTCGTTGTTGACGTACACATCATGTCCATTCACTTTCAGGCCAAGGCGATCCTTGTACGCTGACGCCTTG